TGTGTGTGTTAGACTTACTCTGGGGGTCTGAAGGCTCCTGGTTCTCTTTTACCAATAAGCAGGTAGTCTGGGAGTGGGGGGAGGCATTAGCTGGGTCATATGGGCTCACTATCATCCCAATAAACGGGGCTCCACCACGTGAAAAATAACTCTGAAAGATTAAAAATAAATAAATAATAATACCAGACGTGAAAATAAAACCAGAAGTTCACAAGTAACTCATGTGCAAACTTATTTCATTCAGTCAGTTTTACCTGGAATTGGTGCTGCGTGTTTATGTCTCGCAGTGAAGGGTTAGGGTGGAAGGAGGGATGCGAGTGGTACCAGCCCACTACACTGAATCCCAGGGATGACAGCACATCACAGGCCTGTGTCTGAGACACTGGATCCATCTCACACTGCAGACCTGTGCTCACACTGTTACATGGCTCTGCTGCACAGATCTAAACACAGATTTATTAATCACAAAATAGAGTTTTCTGAATATAATGTGATTAAAAGTTTTATCCTGTTTGTCACATTGGTTCAGACTTCTTGACCTACCTTCAATACTTTTGCTTCTTCATTAAAAGTTCCACCAAGCAGACCAATGACTTCCCCCCTTGACACATGTGCATGCTGATTACAGAAAAGTTATCTGTCAATATAGGTAAAATCTGTTGTACATATATGAAAAAAACTAATCAGCTTGTGACTGAGTGTATAACATACCATATCCATGATGAGAAGCGTCTCAGCACAGACTATAACCTGGAATGGTTCCTAGGGTGATCAGTAAAGAACAGCTTAGAATAATTGATGACTACTTTGGAGAAAGGATCCTCTTAGTTTATGCAACAGAAAATGAAGAAAACATAATCTTATTAGATATAAGGTATATCTAATAATCCAGTCACCTACTCCTTATCCAACATAGGCTGGGCTGAAGTATATTACAGCTGACATAGGGCAAGAGGCAATGAGCACCCTGGAGAGTCTGCCAGTCCCTCACAGGGCCAACAACAGACACACTGACATCACACTGAATTTAGCTTTGCCCACCTAACCTGGGATGTGTGCTTTCAATTGGAGCAAAGGCACCATTAGAAGTCCTGTGGTGATATTCATGTGGATGTAATTTTGACATGTACCACCCATTAACTGCAGATTAAGCATTCCCCATCCCCATAAAAATGGCTCTCCCTCATTAGTCTACCCAGCTGGACTGCGGTAAGTAGTCTAATTACACTGAATGGTAAATGGCCTGTATTTGTATAGCGCTTTTACTAGTCCCGCCTAGGGACCCCAAAGCGCTTTACACACCCAGTCATCCACCCATTCACACACACTGGTGGAGGCAAGCTACAGTTGTAGCCACAGCTGCCAGAAGCGAGGCTGCCATATCGCGCCATCGGCCCTTCTGGCCAACACCAGTAGGCGGTAGGTGAAGTGTCTTGCCCAAGGACACAACGACCGAGACTGTCCGAGCCGGGGCTCGAACCGGCAACCTTCCGATTACAAGGCGAACTCCCAACTCTTGAGCCACGGTCGCCTGAAAAATCTCCTGAAGAATTTCTCAAGAAACAAATAGTCTAGTATCTATTCTGTATCTGGAAGATAAGCCTGATCAATGGAGGCCACGCCAATTACAGACACATCCATGATTTTTCCGGTTTTCTTTTAAAGTGGTGTGGTTAGTCAGTGTATCGGTGAAAAATCTTGATAAGAATGATCACTGACCTTTATATCCTCTTCAAAAGATCTGCAGGGAATCAGCTGGAAGGGGTCAAAAGAGCTGGTGGATAGAGTGGCATTATAAACATCCACATCATAAACCTCCTTGTGCTTATAATTTGGTACATTTTGCATCAGTCCACTGTGCTCACCCTCGGTATCTGGACATCTTGTAAGGTTTAGGCTGCTTCTTCATCTCCTCTCTCCGCAGAGCTAATTCTTCTGCACTTAGATGCTGATAAAGAAAAAAAAACGCAGAATCAGCAAACATATTAGTAAGAATGTAAATCGTAATTTGATTAAAAGTTGTTGTGCTGTGTCCATACCTCATACGTCTGTCCCTCCAAGTCTTTAGCATCACACCAGTTCCCCCAAATGTCCCGCACACGCCGCTTCCTGGTTCGCTACAACCAGTCAGAAGTTACAAGTCAAGTTCTGGCATGCTTAAAATTTAAATGCTTCCAGTGTCAGAGTCTATTGCTTTATGGGTACCGACCATGCTCTGCAGCCTCTGGGCGAGCTGATAGGCCTCCAGTACATCTTTGCCTTCCTTATGCTTGGAGCGGTCCATCACCTTTGGACGATTGTACACAGCTTGCTCTACAAAAAGGAAGTCAGAGCTTTAACATCGAAAAGAAGATAAAAATTCCCAAATCAGAAGACTCAGAGACACAGACTTACCGCAGTTGAAGTTGATTGCTCCAACGAGTTCCAGATAGGTGTGTATTCTCCCAATGCAGTTGACATCTCCACAGTTCTTTAGACCAGGGCGGACCGATGTCTTGTTTAGGTACTTGGGCTTGCTCTTCAGCCTAGTGGACAAAAATAGTAATAACCACTTTCTGTGCAAAGTTGTGTAAACAAAGTTATCAAACATGTAAACTTAGTTTACCATTGATCCAGGATGTAGTTTCTAATCTTCAGATATCTTTCAGGGGTTTTTGATGGTCGCCCCTCAAAGAACTCTGGGATAGCCTGCTTCTCATCCTCGGTGATGGTCTCTGTGTCCATCTCTATTTCTTGTTCAGGGGCCTTCAGCTCCTCCTCTTCATCATCTTCATTCTCCTCCTCCTCCTGGTCATTGTATGGTCTATCATTTAGATTCTTCTCAATCTTGTCTGAAGAATCTAGGACATCATAATGTGTGTCATTAATTTTTCCTATGACAGTGAGGTAAATACACAAAGCACAGTAAGTGTGAAGTACCCATTCCATCACTGTAAGCTTCTTCCAGTTGAGCAATGCCTGCTGAGAACATCTGCTTTGAGTCTGCGTGAGGCGGTGTCTGACAGCTTTGTGGAAATACCGACGCTGTCTTGTTGACCTTCTCATCTCGCTCTGTTACTCCAGGATCTTCTGAGCAACCAGGGAAAGATGAGGGTTGAAGACTTTGCGGAGAAAGAGAGCTGTGGCTCGGTTTCTCCTTCGTCTCATGGATGCTCTCTACCCCACTCAGACTTACATGTTCTTCTGTGGGGCTTTGACTCCCAGAATCTGTTTTCTCCTCAGGCCCACAGAAATCACTGCTGAGGACTGCCTGTGGTTTATTGCCTTCTTCGTCATCACTCAAGTCGTCAGTGATGTCTACATCCTCATCCTCATCGTCAGAAAGCTTCTCTATGCGGACAGCGTTGGCAAGAGTAGACACTTGACTGGAGGTGGGCTGAGGAGGTTGTAGGTGTATTATGGGAGCTACAGAGGGAGCCGCGGGACCAGGATCTGATTTTGCCTGAAAAATGTGTACACAAAAGTTTGTTTATTCTTGATTTTTATTTTCCAACATACCATTGCTAAGGACTCCTTCTGGTTGCATAGAGCGTATGTAGTTTGACTAAATTGCAGGTTTATATCTGCAGATGACTACAACTAAGCTTACATAACAGAAACCTGTCTTGTGCTGTTAGTATAATCCAGGTGGACTGTCTTACCTTATGTTTAAAATACTGCCTGGCGTAACTCTTAACCTGAAGAACGGTACGGCTTTCCATAAGCTTAGCAATCTTAGTCCACCTTCGACCGAACCGAGCCTGTAGAACAACACACCTTGGCAACTTGGACAATACACACAATCTGACTCACTTAAAACAATTATTAAATCCATTAAAGGCTGACCTTCCCAAACAGAAATTACATTTCAGACACAAAAGTTAACTTGCGGCGTAAGCATACCAGGCCTTCCTCAAACAGTTCTTTCTCCTGTTGGGACCATCGAGAGGATGAACCAGCAGACGAAGCTATGTTCTTGGCCGGAGACCTGTCCACACACAGACAAGTTCATGAATACCAAGGAAATGAGGAATCAGTGTACTGCGCTCATCATCAAGGCTGATGGAAGAAATTACTCACTTTTTCACTTTGTTTTTTTTGTGAGGATCACTGTGCCAAATGTGGTCGGGAATCTCCTTACCTGTCAGGTAATATCTTCAATTATAGTTGAGGACAACTGATTTCATAACCAGCAACAAAATTAGTATTTAAACTATGTAATCAACACAATATAAGGAGCTTCAGCTACTAGTCGAAATTATGTTGAGATGTTTTGGGTTACTCCTGCACTAACAGGACAAGTGAACATAAAATAATATAACACATTCCCCCGCTATAATTCAATTTACTGTAAGGGGAAGCGTTACATTTTTTTCTTTTAATTTGTCATCTGTCCGTATGTTTACATTAGCCAGAGCATGGGGCAGTTATTAGGTAATCCGAAGCACTCCCAGCTACGTCCTGTTATTCCTGTAGTTAACCTCAATGCATCACTATGCAGTGCGTTTAAGGGCGGTAAAAGGATACTGTTCCTCTAGCAACATCCTCTCTATCGCCTCTCTGTTCTCCGGGCTGATGGAGCTGTCCAGCTCCCAGGGCTGCACAAAGGACAGACGGAGAGTCAACACGAGCACCCACAGCCAGAAAAACAACTGAGCTTGACGAAGTCATACCAGTATCCAGGCGCTGCTCTTCCCTGTAGGCTGCATGAACTGCTCCTGCACCAAACCTCCTCCGTCCATCTCCCTAAAACAGCGAGGAAAGAAGCTGTGATCAGCAGAGCAGACGCCTCCAGAGCTAATCCCAGCTGCTGTTATCCTGCGCCAACATCCGGGTCACCGCTAACTCGCGTAGACCACAGCACAGAAGCCCACCAAACAGCACAGCCATCAATTAATCCAAATAAACAGGCGTCATTACCCAATATTGTTATCAAAGTCATCTCCTTCGATGTCAACATCCACCTCGTCCTCCATGTTACTCGATAAACGTAAACAGCAGAGAGAAAACAGAGAAGGCGCGCTGGAGGAGAACAGAGGCCACTGTGACTCACAGCGACACCCTGTGGCTGGATGTCGTTTAATACGTTTAAAGTTGCTTTACTGCCACCTTCTGGTTTAAATTCACCTTAAAGTGGGTTTATTATGCTTTTTTTTTTTTAAAAAAAAATTATTTATATTGGACGCTTATAAAAAAAAACTTGTTATCCTAAAGTTCAGGCTTCAGAGTTCTCTAATTGCTCTTATTTTTCTCTTGGATCTATATGATGTCAAAGAGACATATTACAGGATATCATGAGCACAACAACCCCAACTACCCCACCCTTAAACCTTCTGTTTAATAGCGGCAGCCAGTCAGCCTTAAAGGTAAGCTGTCCCTGCAGTGGGAAGAGGTAAAAATGGTTCCTTTTAGACCGCGAATCATTGTGATGCCCACCGCAAGATAAATAAGTAAATAAATAATGATGAGCATAAGATGCACACTTTAATGTTCAGTTGTATTACACTTCTAATTAATCAGATTTAAACATATACTGCTATGACATATGTAATATTATATATTTTATTGATATATTTCTTCCCCCAACATAATAAAGATGGACAGTGATTCCCTAGAAACTCATAGGAATGAGTAGGCATAAAAGCCCGGGGAGGGTTCAAAGTCATTGAAGAAACAAACAGCTTTAAATATGAGGATTCCTTTTAAAACTTACATTCATTGTCTACCAGAAGTTCAGAATCCTTTCAGATTCAGAATATCCACATTTGATGATATCTACAGCATTTTGATATGACCGAATTCTGTTTCCCTTCCCTTGAGATACTCTGCTAGACTTTTACCACAACCACCTTTAGTTTTTACTTCTTCATGGATCTTCACTGACTTGGACTATGCCATTTCTTTGCCTTGAGACTGTATTGGGTTATTATCCATTAGCACTATAAAGCTCTGTCTGATTGGTTTTGCATCTTTTTTGCTGAATCTAAGGAGAGAGTATAGCCCCGTGCTACTTTTGTCAGCAGTCGCATCAGTAAACTAATGATCCATTTACTGTGGCAGCTATACACACCCATGACACAGCATTGTCCCCACCATGTTTGACAGATAATGCAGTATCCTTTGTGTCATATGGTGTTCCTTACCTTCACCACATTTTGCTCTGTAACCAGCGGTTTACACCTTTTTATAAAACATTTGTATTTGCATTTATGAAAGCATCTTTTAATTGTAGATTTTGAGGATATGCCGTTCTCTGATGGTGTTACTGATTTGGTTAGATATTGTGAAGGGTTTTTCTTGGTGTTGCGAAGCTGGACAGCGTATTCATTCTTTTTAAGAACGCACCAGATCATTGATGTGGTCGCTCCTGATACTCATTTCATCATAAAAGAACAAAACAACAGGTGTCAACATGGCTATTAATTTCTTTTTAAGCCAACTGTCCGATTACTTTTGAGACTCTGAGGATGGGATTCTATGAATGAAGTATGTGTATACCCAAATCTGTATACTGCTATCACTACTTTTCTTTATTAAACGTTTCCTGCCTAGGGACAACAGAAGTGAAATAGCAATTTTGCTAAAATCTGACATGAAACAACTCCAAATGAAAGACAAAAAGAAACAAAAACATTTTATTTAGAAAGAATTCACAGTTTCTAATGGCACTACAGTTTTTTGTAGTAACTCACTCCTGCTCAAAAATACTGTGCAGCTCTTCGGAGTACTCACAGAGACAAAGAGAGGGCGAGAGAGAGGGATAGAGAGAAGGTAGCACTTGACATAAAGGGTAGAAGAACAAAAAGGCATAAGGAGTCATACAAAGTGCACACTGAGCGTTTAGAATTTCTCTCCAAGTGCTTTCTTGTTGTTTGCTGTGTTATGTGTTTAAATCGATTTAAAGTAGTCTTTTTCATAACACAGACACACAGACACACACACAC